CACTACAGCCTAAGTAATTTGGTGTGAAATCTCAGGGAAAGAGGCAAAGAGACCGGACGAAGATGTGTCATGTTGCGGACGAACCAATGGCAGAACGAGTGCTGCGACCCAAATGGCTGCAACAGAGCAAATGCAATATTACTGTCATGTTGCGAAAGATCGAATTGTTTTTGAGGACCCAGCCGTCCTAATATTCTGGCAGTTGCATTAACCGCAGCCGTGATGTAACAGGTGAAGTCACTGTGGATAAATAGAGCGCGATTAGTGTTCACCAACTCGCGTCAGTCCTGGTGTAACAAACTGATTTCGTTGAAGCCAAACGATAAGTCATTTGTAAGTGCTATCTTACTTTGGCGTCTTCAAAGTTTAGGTCACTGATGTCTGCATAGCATAGCAAGAATTAGGTGACTACAGTGAGCACGCAGCGAGGTGGTGCGTGAGTGGGCACTTGATGACAAATCGTCAAAACGGCAGACTAAACTCACCAGGCTGAGGTGAAAAAATCGTCCAGCTGTAGCACCCTTTCGGTGCCTAGCTGCCATGCCACACGAAGGAGGCACGAGGGGTGGGATACTGCCCAAGCTAGACAGAGGAAGTCCAGTGGCAGAGGTCGGGTTGGAACCACGGACCTTGCCCTCAGTAAATTCGCGCTTTAACCATTGAGCCATCGCATTGAAGACGAGCCACTAACTGCCCGATTAGGCCATTTCCGCCAGTGTCATCAACCACTGGTGATTTGAGCCCCTGGGTCCCCATCCGGGGAGGCGGCAGTTGCTCACCCGACTAAGTTTACTGGTTAGTGTTTTCGTACTTCGTTTCCAGGTCATACACTGTCCACCGTGTGATCGCCTCCACTCAGCACAGGGCTGGGAGAGAAGAGCTCTGTGAGGCAGACGGTCTCCTGGCATGCGAAGTACATGCCCCGACCAGCGAAATCTATGAAGTGTGAGTAATTCATCTATCGCGGGAAAGTTCCTTCTTCCTAAGACCATCTGGCATGCCTCAGCACTAATAATCCCATATTCCCACCAGACCTGACCAATGCTGCGGAGACAACGATGATCAAACCTTGACATCTTTCGTATGTCCTCTGTGTGTATGGATCGCATCACCGCAGTGTAAACTCTTCCCTTGACAGACAAGCTCACGTGACATCGACACCACAGGTGTCAGACGTTGGCAACAGCTGCCTTGGCCTTTCCGATTCGAGAAATGATCTCATCTCCAGCCAGTTCACCGGAACTTCCACAGATGTTCAGGCAAACAAATTTATCCATCACATCGATTGTCTCTCTCGTGCCTACGCAATTCACAATTTCTTACCATCCATAGACTGTAAATTTTGCAAATGCGTCTCGTTCTTGTTCGGAAATCAGTTGCATGTTTCTACTCCGTATGACTGTTGATTCGGGTGTGCTTTGATTTCAAGGCAGGTTCTAAGCTGGCTAGCCTAAAATGGGATAGGATAACCAGTATACTATGGGCGGACCAATGGCGCGCAACAATGACAATGAGCGAGCCGGATTACATCGAAAGGGCCAGACACGAAGACCTACAAATCAGTCAGACATAACTCATATTTGAACCACACGGCTCTCAGGAAATAGCAAGCAACACATGAGACAATCAGCCAAGAATCAAGGCCGCTGACATCAACACTGCGCAATTCTAGGGACAGACAAAGGTACACAAAGAAGGAACTCCAATTCGACAAGCCGTTTCACCCCCTCGAATCGGTCCCCTCACACACTGGAGAACGTTGGAACTCCTGATTTCTGAACCAAGACACACGATCAGCAATGCTGATCGATTTCCGAGCAAACCACACTAAAGAAGACGACGGAATCATGCTTCTGTTTGATGTCTTGTCAGCGTTTACTTCAATTCACCACAACCTCGCCAGGGGAGTTGCAAACGGAACTGTTTGCGATAACCGAAACAAGACAGAAACGATGCAACCACAATGTATTTGTAAGCTTGGACGCTTTGATGAACAAATAGATCAAAAACTGAAAGGGACTCCAATAGGTACTTCAATTTTATAATTTATCACCGAGGCGGTAACGCAGAGAATACATTGCACGGTACTACCAATCATCAATCCAAAGCGATGGATCCACTACATGAACGACAAGTTCGTCATCACAGGAACTGCTCAACACCACGTTTGAAGACATCAAGTATACTATCAAGCTGGACGATTTATTAAACACCGGTAGGAGACATACGGATTAAATATGACAGCAATCATCCATTGAACCACAAGAAGAGCTGCGTCCAGACCCTGTTCAAGAGGGCTGAGGCACACCACAGAACCAAAGAAGAAGGAAGGAAACCATTTATTCAGAGTATTCCAGAAAACTGGATATCCAAAGAATCCCATCAGGAAAAAGCTTCAAGAAGAAGACGTCCCAATGACAGCAAGAATAAGCGACCAGGCGAGTAGCCCTATCCTGAACTCAATGCCACATTGTTAGCTCAGAAAGGAACCATCGTAGCCCAGAAAAGCTAATGTTACTTTGAGGAAACTGATCTGATGACCGAAGGATGACCAAGAAAAAACCAAGAGGAACAATGTGATATACCAAATCAACTGCAACAGGTGGTTGATCAGATGGCAGTTGATCTGTTCCTCCGAGCTCGGCGATTGACTTACATACGTTTCGTCTCCAGACGAGGAGCACCGTCAGTGCACAGTTAAGTGTGGGTGCTTCCTCCGTGTCTAGCTGCGTTTACGTAGTTTTTGAAGAGTGGCTGGTTGGTACATAAATAATGCTGCATTATTATTGGACCAGCCGTGATTTTTGCTGTGTTGTGGTGTGTATGCCTCTTAACCCATTGGTTTGTTGGATGGCTGCTTTGGGTGCACCCCTGGGGACGAAACGCATGCAAGCCAATTGCCAAGCGCGGCGAACAAATCAACTGCCATATGATCAACCACCAGTAAACACACCCGAGCTACTTATATTTCGACAAAATGACAACTGCAACAAGTTCTACGTGGGAAAAACTGGGAGAAAATCGTGGGCACGAGTAACAGAGCATGATTCCCTATCCTTGGCACCCAAAAAGGAAGAATAAGGTCATAAATTCAGTCTGGGAAACGCAAAAATCTTGGCATATAGAGACACGAGACAGGGAAGGGAGTGTTTCTGAACGCACGGAACATCAAGACGGATTCGATCAGCTGACGCATCGAAATTGACCTAATTTGGTCAACACTTCATGAAAAGGATAAATATATCAACTGGAATACTCAAAGAGAGCCGAATATCGGATTGAGAAACCAAGATACCGGAAACTCCTTAGAGTGGATCAACAGATATCACAAACTGGAACCCAGAGGGGTCAGGGACAGAGGTTACTTCAGCACCGACCGGAGTACGAGAACATGGAGGCCAGGCTCAATAATCACGTGGTCACCGACCAGTTAGGACTTAGGATTACAAACCAACCAATGGAACCACTCGACCGAACAATCTGTCATGATCGAAGGTCAGCCCCGGCTAGCAGCACTATCACCGACACACTGATATTCGTCCTAACAGCATAGTGATGATGTCATCCCGGTTGGCGATGAATCGTTTACAATCAAACTGCCCAACTCAACAAACAAACCAACAACCGTAATGTCTGCCACTGTCATTAAGTGAGTCTTCTTAGTGGGACAAACACGACAGCAATGTCACTAACGCAACCAATCACTGTATGCTCCATTCATTGACCCCAAAATGACTTTGGGTTCGGTGAACAGAGAAGCACCACAAATCGCTTTTTGGGAGGTGAGGTATCAGAACAAGACTGCCGCACTTGTCAAGTCTTTTCGCTGTGGTATAATGACTCGTTATCAAAGCTGCGGAATCAATTCCTCAGGTTGCAGCTTGACACGGGGAAACTGCTCTGCGTTTTAATGGATATTTCGTTCCCTTTGTGAGGTCACTGTATGCTGAGGAGTTAAGAAGCGCTCTACGGCCGTCTCATCCCTACTGAAATTCATCACCATCATCTCACCAAACTCCACTAGAGATTGTCGAACCCGCTGTCTCCCTACAAGTCATTTGAGCACCGAACTGTTCGATTACAAGCAGCTCTTCTGGGACACTTCTGGTCCCACTGACAGGACCCCTAATCCGTTTTCATCACTAATGCTCTAAGCTATGGCGTCAGATATATCCAGCCCATATCCGTTTGCAATTTTCGAGCTTGGAAATTCAGAAATGAACAGGGCTATGTTATGTTGTCCGAAGTTTCCCTCATTTCACTCTGTGCCACTCAGATTCCTTCTCTCTTGGCAATCCTCTGGTCACCGAACAAATGCACAACAAAGAACTGAACTTGCTAAAATCTAAAACTGGCGTCGTGACTTCAAAACGTGTTTGAAGCAGTCAGCCTCTTCGAGTGGACACGGAAGTTTTGGCGTATCGTGCTTCCGTATTATCATAATCTTTGCAAGGTAGCGAAACTTGAACAATGTGCCAGAATTATGTCCGGAACCAAGACTGGTTTCATCTACAACTTCTGCGAAGGATGACAGATGACACAATCTTTACTGCAATGTAATGTCTGATAGCTGACAACAGGCCTGTGTGAGTTTTCTCGTTGATCTTATTCTCTCTGGCTTAAGCCTAGTCCGCGGGATCGCCCGCGGTGGTACATCCAGCTCCGCGCGAATCGTTTATCGTTCCTCGAGTGGTTCAGGCATCTGGTAGTCAAATAGTACACTGGGTCCTGAACAAGGAGTACTGTTTTCGTAACTCTACCGTGGTTTATTCAGGGAGGGAGGTTCCGACCGTTACTGATTGATTTTCGCTGAGTGGATCTTCGAAGCTAATGGCCGCCGAGAGGTATGTGTTAGCAAAATTATGCTGGCCTTCCTACGCGACTGGGGAGGAAGTCATCCCACTTAGGTTAACCATTCAAATCGCTTTGTTGTCTCTGTAGGTTCACTCAGGATCAATATTCAGCTCTTTTTAAACGCAGCACCTTTTCCCGAAAAAGAAACAATACCAATTTCAAGGGAATACCTGTTTTTTTCACTTGCTACTGTTATCTCGAGAAAATATAGCTTATTTCTCGAATGAGCTTTGACTTCATGTGAAGTAATTTTACCGCGAAACAGAATGCTAATCTGAAGAAATACCATTGGTTTCGCTTGAGCTGTGACTTTCAACGAATGGGTCTGTTGCGAAAAGCGTGTTCGTCCACACCTGTTCACGTATACTAATGGATTTTGTCTAATACCATCGTATCCATCCTTTATGTAGGCTTCCAAGGAGCTGTTGCTCCACGGGGATTGTGAGATCTACTGTGGTCGCGTTGGTTGGTCGGTAGAGCGTGCACCAGTCCTTCTCTCCTCGAGTCGCAGCGTCGGCGTTCACGGCCTGATCGATTCCACCACACCCGCGTAGCCCGTGGTAGAATACAGAAGGTCGTGGAACTTGGGTGTATCCGTCCTCTTTTGTTGTGGTTGACGAATTTCTAAGGGGAAAGGTCAGTGAAAATAAGAGTCTTAGGTTGATTTACTCAGGTGTTGCTTAGCGTCCAGTCTGCTTGATTATGAATTCGCAGGCAAGGTCCCCATGACTGATTCATTCGGCGAATAACTAATGACCGGAGGCATTCGGTGGAACTCATGATAATCGAGAAAGCGAACACCCCCCTTCCCGACATAAGTTAGAAAAATAACGGGAAAAAACCTACCGTATGACCAAATAAAGTTGATGACACATTGCGGACTTTACTTCCACAACTAACTTATCGATATCATTGTGTAGGAGACCAAAGCAACCGTCACAGAGATCCATTTTTCCGCCATCTGAATTGCTGATCAAACTGCGGCTTTTCAGCAACTCCTGGTCGGTTTGGAAAATCTTACAGCTGCATACAAGTTCTCGGCTTCTCACTGATGGGACGTAATCTGGATCGAAGAATGTTACAATCGATGTAAGATCTCCAAATCACTGCCGTCTCTTGTCCCCTTTTCAACCATTATGAAAACAAGAAGGGGCAAAGGTGGCTGCTATGCCACCCGAAGGGAGCACAAGGGCTGGAATACTGCCGGGTTACTCATGCCTATACAGGAGAAGTCGAGATGCTAAGTCCGGGTTCGAACCACGGATCTTCCGTTAGAAAGCAAAGTAGAGTACATTTCTGAAAGTACAACGTTAGATTACGTCGCCGCAATATGCTTTCAAAACAGTCACGTAGTCCGGCTAAAGTGGTTAGGGCGCGAATTAATTGACCGGACGGCCGTGGTTCGAACCCGACCTCCGCCTGTCGACTTCCCCTGTCTAGGTTTGACCAACCTGGCAGTATCTGAGCCCTCACGCTTTCTTCTGCTACCTACTACTAACGCCCCATTCCTCATATGCTCTGGTTCTGACAATCCGCTCATCAAATATGTTTCACAAAAACAGTCGCAGAAAGGTAAGTTTTCCACATTTTCATAATACATCATTTCGTTCCCCTCCCCCATTTATTCATCACGCTGCTCCAGATTTACTCCCCTGAAGCATCCTTGGCTACATCTTCTGAAAGAGTGACCACCCCACCATCACGTTAAGCATCTTTCGCAAAAGTAAGCCAGTGTGTACAAGACACAAACTTACTTCAGCAAATACACTTGTGTCGCATTATCCCGTCGCCAGTTACTGAGGATAGTTTGCACAGAGCTCGTTGCTTTTTTCCGAAGGTTCGCCTGGAAGAATAAAAACAAACAAACGAATTCACTGAATGATGTGATTTGCTTTCAGCCCTTCAGTGTGCACCGTCGTTTACCGAAAACCAAAACAGAAGTGTACCTCTGAATCATCAGTGACCTTCAAATTAGTTATGTATTCTGGGGATGAAATGCTGTTCTTGTCTAATAGAAATTCCTATTGAGGCGTAATATATCATGGTGCGACTGTGATAGCGCACTCAGATCCCTGAGGCACTGGACAATCAGAAGCTTCAAGAATGCTAAAAAACGCCAGTGGATTGCAAGGGCCGAAGAGCACGGACATCAGATTATCGTAAACCATGAAAATCCGGCGTCAGATAAGTCCCTCGACGCCACAAGGCATCTCGCCAACAAATTGGCCCCTCTATTCAAAGAAGCTGATGAACAGTCTGAAGACCGTACTTAGGTAGATTTGAACGATGACAGAATACCGGTGGAATGGAGCTCCTCAAACGTCATGTGAAAACCGTCTTGGCATCAGGCTGGTATCCGTAGTAGATAAGGTGCCACCTGGCATCATTTCTCGCAGTTTACTTTATTACCGAGAGACAGATTGGTGAAAACAAAGCTGGGTTTCGCCCTGACTGAGGATTCATCCACCATATTCTTACCTTTCGACAAGTTCTTGAGTAGAGCCACGTCCCACCTACCCGACATTCAACCGTAGTCGTCCAACTTCATCAGGGAACTTGCCATCATGTTTACGTTGTCGACAATGAGTGTGGCTTCATGTACTGTTAAAAATAGCATCGTCGGTTCCAGTGTAACGGTGATACTACTGATGGGGTATGCGAGCAGTATGTAGTTTTCTCATAAATCGCTCCGCATCTCTTGAAAAGTGAGGTCTATTACGGAATTCGTGAAGTCGCTCTGTAGCATTTGCTGGCAATTGAGTGACAGTCAATGAATATCTAGGAAAGTTTAGGAAGACGCATTCAAGGAGAAGATGGATGTTCAGTTTTGCCAAACAAGATCATCTGAGAGTTTTGCTCCCCTGTCCAATATACTGTAACTGTTCAGTTGGCATTTTCTAATCAAAAACTCCGCAGCGAAGGCTTTCTTCCTTTCACTGGTAGATCGAGTGCTATCATTTTTATTCGTGGAAAACTACAGCCTGATGACCTACTTGTTAGTCGAGCGACTGGTTTTTTGGCAACGGTTCTGAAAGGAAATTCCCACCGACGGCTGCGTATGTGACGCAATCACTATATCTCCACCGATGGGGCTTTCTTGTTGTTGGTTTGCGGACCGAACTCTGTTACGCAGCTTTCACACATGATCAAAAATTATACACCATTATACAAAGGGCAAACCCAGTTTATTAGTCCAATTTGATCATATATAGTTAGAGCAGTTTTCTGGAATCTACCGTTGCGGGGGTATGCAAGGAAATGGGTACAAATGTTGAACAAACGCTACTAACCTGCACTCCGGGAATTCCCGTTGTGAATATATGCCCCAGTTTGAGGAACTGGATCAATTCAGGATGGCGTCGCAGAACAGTAGGAAGCGCTTTAAAAAGTCTGTTAGTGAAAGGGAATGAGTGATAGTCATATTCTGACTTGCATATTATTAACATGGTATTTAAAAGAACACAGAATGTGTCGATTATATAATGAATGCCTTTCAGTCATCACCCTTACGGAGTGAATAAAGGCGTCGTGTCAAGCATACTCCGGTTTGCTAATATACCAATCAGCAAGCTAATTCGTGCAAACGGCCGTCACTCAGCAACTCACCAACTAATTAATTGTTAGTGTCTGTCAGAGGTCATTATCGTAGTTTACGATTTTTGACAAACCATAGCTTATCAATATCATCACAATTAGGAGCTGTAAGAACCGCGTACTTGTAATACAGTGGTTCTGGATGCCACAGTTTCGTTCACCGATGATTCGGGGAGGTGGGTAGCTGCGCGTTGGAGGCCGGAGCTGATAAATTGGTGTGTAAACACAGCACTGTCATTGATGGGAGTGGGAAGGGAGCTGTGCATTGAAGGCAATAGCTTGAATGCATAAGTGTCATTGAGGGCGCTACTTAGCAACGTCTGACAATGTCTCGAACCAATGAAGTGGCCCGTCTCGGAGTCCCCATACTGCAGATTGCTCTTCAGTTTTTGATCATCGAAATTCGCTGAAGTATTACTCCAACACATAGAGGTGAGATTCACGAACTATACTCATTTGCGTGCCAGTTTTGCATTAATGGGAGAGTCAACTGAATTTCAGCTGAATCTTTCGTCAACCGAATGCAGTGCACAACCGCCGCCTCATGCTTCAGTCGGTGTGATTTTAGAGAGATTGTAGTGCTTGCTGAATACTCTTCGACAGTTCACGCCTGATTTCACCCCCCCCCCGCGCTCTCGGAATCAACACGCAGGTGTAGTCACCAATTTTCCGTCAATCTTATGTTCTGTTTGAACTTAAATTGTACGGAATACACATCGTCTTGATCATTTTTAGCTTTAAAAACGGCGCAGATTTTGTACACGGGTTTTAGCTGCCACAGTTTCGTTTGCTGGTGATATGGGGAGACATGTGTGGATAGCTACGCATCGGCAGATGATACAATTGATGTGCAAAGACAGGAGTGTCAAAGGACCTTTCCTTGGGTGAATTGGGGGGTGAGACAACGTATTAGGGAAAGCAGCTTAGTTGCATGTGCGCCAGTCAGCGCCCCACTATGCCATGCCTGTCAACGTCCCTACCCGTGTGTGTCTCCCCTTCTCAGGGTCTCCAGGAAGGCTGATTTCAAGACTGTCCAATTTCCTGAAGGATGACACTTATCTGTTTATTCAAAGGTTCCCGTGAATTTAGACGGAAATTGCTTCAAATTCTTCAGCCAGACTCAACAGCCAGGTGGACACAGACGTCAGGACATCGCTGTCATTCAGCAAGATTATTGGTAAATATTTGGAAAATATATCGAGTATTTCTAGAAGACGAGAAAGGTGGCATAAGGTCGCTGGCTTGTTCGCCGAGTTGGACAATTTGACTGCAAACGTTTCATCACCAATCGAGGTGACATCATCAGTGCGTTATTGGAAAGGATAGTGGTGAGTAGCAGTGGGTTAGTGGTTGCGCGGAACACACAAGGAGGACCGAATATTGGATTGACAATCAGATGAACAAGGAATTCTTTGAGGTCAAATGAATAAAGGTCACAAGGACAAAGGTCACTGCGGCATCCACCAGATTACGACGGCAGGGAATGCCAGGCTCAAAGGTCACGTGGGCATCGGCGAACGAGGACACAGGATAACGGAGCAACCAATGGAACCGCCCGATCCAACAACTAATCACGATCAAAGGTCATCCCAGGCTAGCAGCGCGTAGATTAACAAACACGCAACACTACTCAACGCACAATCACTAATCCACCCCTACGCTCCTCAATGACGCACTGATGGTGTCACTTGACTGGTGATGTAACGTTTGCAATCAAATTGCCCAGCTCAGAGAACAAGCCAACGACCATCTACGCTACCCCAGCTACCAACATTTTCCTCGATAGAAAACGATGATATACTTGACAGCTGTGCCCACTCTGTTCTGGTCCATATATGTTCAAGCCTGTGTCTGTACAATTGCTTCGGATCGGCAGATACATCCTACAGAACTGCCAACGGATCACCCAAGATTTATCAAGGTCACTGATGTCACTCAGCCCTAACGAAATGGCTACCTTACATCTCACAGGATTTTGCTCCGTGAATTTTTAGTGGGTGCATCCATCCAGATGGCTTTATTGACGTCGGATTGCAGGTTGTCAAACCAACGCACAGTGGTAATGCTCTTCATGAGTTGCATGGGTACAACTAGAATCTGGTGTTTCAGTAATCAATTTGGCCGAAGAGTGTGAAAAAGATAGGGAGGAGTTTAGGTGGGGTCGGCGGTTTCCAGGATGAACTCCTAGTGAATACCTGTGCTTGTCTAGAGACGCCGGGAGAAATGGTGGCTAATCTATGTCAGCGATCTTCATGTCATCAGTTTCATTTCAGAATGTCTGATTGAGCGCTTGGACGTGTAAACAGTCCAGAATGCGTGCAATAGGCCTGAAACAGGCCCCTCCCGCACCCACTCTTCTCTGCTCTTTTCGCCCTAGGGTTATTAGTGAAATTAAGTAACTCTTATGGTTTTGTAGCCGTGAACACTGATACTGCTGCCTCTTATGAAGGTGGTTTATTATTATTATTGTTAGTAGTAGTATCAATATCAGTAGTATCGTTGGTGCGTCGCAAACACCGAGGAAGAGCTGGTGGCTGCTTAAGGTGATAGTCTCCGCAACGACATTCACAGCCGCGGTTTACGAGAGTTGGTCGCTTCGCCTGGCTTGTACTTCCAGAACAAGTGTTTCCTCGGATATTCATTCGCGGTATCCAGCTCCGATGCAACCTGCTTAGGACGAGATTTAGAAGCGCTCGGCATGGTCATTGTGGCCAGACGATATCATGTCGTTCAAACTGTTGCCAACCAGAGAGTTTACTGGGTATTTTGCACTCTCCCTGGATCACGCATGATGTCAGAAGTGCTCGTCATAATTAGGTTGAAAAGAAATTCGCAAAACGGCTCCGTCGACTGGGATACACCGTCTTCGAGAGATTGAGAGTACCTACTTCGACGACTCTCATCCGGCCTAACCAAATCGCTGTTCAGGAGCGCCGGCGGTAGACGTAGTCATAGTCTCGGCAGGACACCTACTACCTACAGTGCTGTATTTACGCATCAATTTATCAACTCCCGTCTCTAATGCGCAGCTACCTACCTCACCTCCCCGAATCATCGGTCAACGAAACTGTGGTATCCAGAACCACTGTACAAGTGTGCGGTTCTTATAGCTGACAATGATGATTATGATGACGATGATGATGATGATGATGATGATGATGATGATGATGATGGAATGACTGTGTGGAATGAGAATAAGCAGAAGTACGGCGTTGATAAAGATTCCCTCGCCATCATCTCAGCCCTACTTGCAATCGGTTGTGATGTCGACTTTTTGGTCCACCGGTCGATGGTCATCTCTTATCAGGGGATCCGCTTTCCTCAGCCCACCAAGGCTGTTACTGGACTGAGACTTTCTAAGGTCGCAGTCAGTGACCTGTGTTTGATTGCCATTGCGGGCTCCCCGCGCACTCATAACACTTTTATGCGCAGCACAATTCGTTGAATGTACATCGAATCTCGCACCAGACCAAGTATGACGAACACTTTGTGCCTGATGTGCGAGTCTTGACCGTGATAGCGCTTACCTCGCCTTGCAGAGCATTCAACATTGTTAGTCCGTTCCTCGATTGTTGGACTTCACACGCGTTTTTCCGTAGCGAACTTTCTTACATACATCGGGATTCTTTTTGTCTGACTGGAATAGTTGACGGCATGATTTCGAATGAGACACTTCCCTCTTTTTGCCTAATATTCTCCTGCAACCCTTTCACATTCATCACTCGCTCTCAGTTTTAATGGCTGTGACCATACTCTTCAAAAATAAGGGTGTTGGTGAAGTCGTGAGACCAGGATGACTGTTCAGTTGGTCAAAATAAGACAGATCTCGAAAATGGCGGCAAAATTTTGTTTTACTTTCAAAATCGTCACACACATACATTGGGTTGACAAACATTATGAAGAAACACGAGGATTCTGGACTGTTATCCCTTAAAGACTATGTGCAGATCAGGTCGTGCATGTTACTTCGTGTGATGGCAAGATTGACTGGAACTTTTTTGGGTTGCGAGCCACATACCATCAGGGAAGCTGCAAAAAAAACCCTACAAGGGCTGCATGAATTTTTCCGACAAATCAACCGCTGTTCGTCCGCTGAATACACAAATTTTAGATGACTGAAACTTACTGATCCGAGACGACCATGAAATCGCGCACCGCTTCGGGTGAACTGAACGCATACAGTCGTTTCTCATCAGGAGTCATCAGAAGTCCCAGAGACATGTCCCCTTTGACCAGTAGACCTTGGTGTTTCAGCAGGGACCACACACAAAAGCCCTGAAGAAAGGAAGGAACGAGGTTTGTCACGGAAGCTACCATTTTTAAAAAGACGTGTTGTTTGTGGAACAACTGGTTTGGAGTGTTAGAGACCTAACGAGTTGGGTGTATGAATTTTGGGCACGAAAACTAGAGGCCATTCGAATGTACCAAGGTAATATTTTGTTCGGATAGGTGCATGTTTACAGTGAAACCCTGTTAGTTAGACGTCCTAAAACCAAGCATATATTCTTCTTTCGGACCATGGTGCGAGTGTGTTTAATGCACTCTTCATGGTCCCATGTTACCCCTCACTAAAAATTCCCTTCGGATTCCTAAGGTCCAATCAGTCAGCCGCGAAGCTCTATCGGTTTGGCTTCAGAAAAGAACTGATGAAGCCCCGCACCAATGCAGTGCAAATTACACCTGAAGCAACTGGAAATTTCTATAACTCTTAGATCTACTCGTATTGATAATCAGTGAAACTAAAACAGTTTGCTAGGTTCGTGACAATCACTCCAGTTTTCACTTCAAAAAAGAAACGGACGAGCAACTGGAAACTGAAAACGTTTGTTAGCTAATATACACTCATTTGCAAACTAATTTGTTTTTTTTCATGAGACGCACCTAGAACCCAACTGAATCTCTCGTTTGTGATGTGCTCAGGCAACTGAATGGGCTGCACTAGGCCGCCTCATGTTTCAGTCGCTACGATATTCGAGATATCGCGATACATGTATATCTTTGTAACGTACTACTCATAAGGTTGCTGAAAATCTGTCGACAGCCCAAGACCGGTTTCGCCCTTTTTGGGGCTCATCAGGTAGGCACAGCCCCATGAGTTCCGTCAACCTTATGTCTTACTTGAAACCAAATTGACCTGATGAGCCCCAAAATGTGCGAAACCGGTCGCGGGCTGTTGACGCGTTTTCAGCAACCTTATGAGTAGTACATTACAATGAAAACGTTTATGTTTAGCTGACCAAACCATGAAATAATTCACCGTGGTCGAACGGTGATCAGATCTCCCAAGGCCCAACTCACTCTTCAGTCACAGTTCACGTTTTGAATTGCACCTGAGTAACGACTTGTCAATAAAAGTTCCCTATATCTAGTGAAATTATCCTCCGTCTGGGCTGCTTATTGATCCATGGGGATGTCAATAGGTTTGGTAATATTCACTAGAGGTTTCATCCTGTTAGCGAAGCCGGTCCTAGTTGAGAAGTGGGAAAGCGCAGCACAGTTATTTCATCTTTATTGGAAATCATCATCAGGAGTGCTCATTTCATGAAACCCCAGGATATGGCGCCAAGTATCGTTCACTCACGGCATCTGCATCACGTGTTCCCACTTATTTACTTGTTTGTCGCCTTAATTCAAGATCATCACCATCACCATTGTTATCTGTAATAACCACGTACTCGTCGTACAGTAGCTGCTAAGTTTCGTCCACCAATGATTCGGGGAGATGAGGTAGGTAGCTGCGCATTGGAGGCGGGAGCTCATAAATTAGTGCGTAAATACAACACTGTAAGTGGATTGTCAAGTGAGTGGGTTGGGAGTATCTGTAATAAGTACTCGTCGTACAGTAGCTGCTAAGTTTCGTCCACCAATGATTCGGGGAGATGAGGTAGGTAGCTGCGCATTGGAGGCGGGAGCTCATAAATTAGTGCGTAAATACAACACTGTAAGTGGATTGTCAAGTGAGTGGGTTGGGAGTAGAGCTATGCATTGGAGGCAATAGCTTGGGTGCACGAGCGCCATTGAGGGCGCGACTGAGCCATATCTGACAATGTCTCTAACCATTGATGTAGCCCGTCTCAAGGTCCCCATCAAGGAAGACGGCAGTGACCAATCTCAAGATCCCCATCAAGGAAGACGGCAATGACCAGTGCCGCTGAGTTTGCTGGTAATAGCTTTCATACTTCGCTGCCAAGTCATTGTTTCACCACCTATGACTCCTTTCCACCCTTTACGTGCTTGTGCAAGAAGAACCTCTCGAGGAAGTCGGTCAACTGGCATACGCTGTACGTGGCCAAGTCAACGCAACCTATGCAGTGTGATCAGTTCATCTATCGAGGGTGAGTTACTTCTCCCGAATACCATTCGACGAACTTCAGCATTACTGATCCGGTGTTCCCACCACATTCGGGCAATGCTCCGAAGACATCGATAGTCAAACACTGAAAATCTTTTGACGTCCTCGGCGCGCAGCAGCCAGGTTTCTGATCCGTACAGTAATATGGAGGGAACGAGATGAGTGTGAGGTTCATGGTTCAAGTTCATCACTGAATCTCAGGTTTACCCCATCCTAGCCTGGTTAGTTGTATGAAAGCTAAGGGCCAAGCAGAAGTACCGTACCAAATTTCTGATATTACAATATCCGAATCTCGTACTTTGGAAATCGCTTTGTGAGCCTGTAACTGTGAGGTTAGTGTCCCTCTCCAGAAACAGCTGACGTTCGAACGGTTAAGTAGGCAGACGGGCAACCATGAGGATTGGGGATCCCCTAGTTAAGATTCTTGAAATGTGCACTGTTGATGGTCCTCAATGGGGATGAAACAGCTGTACGGTGATCCTCGGCTTTCCAGAATAGACTGGTACTAAAACTAGTAACGATAGGTAATTGTGTTTGTCTCAGCTGATCAGTAGTTTCTGGCTTAAAGAAGTATAGTTACCAGTCAATTCGAAGGAGGGAGTGGTCGGACGCATAAATCTACTTCCGTCAATCCTAGAGGCAACAAGGCTTTCCGCGGGTCTGGACAAGCGCACTGCAAGAGTGGAGGGGATTCTGGTGACTGGTTGATTGTAGCCAAAACGAATTTCACAGTTCTCCTTGGTGGTTGGAAATTCGAGAACCAGATGCTCCATTGTTAGTATGTTGAGAGATCAAGGCCAGGAACAACGATTTTGAATTGCTTAGACGTATGCCTCTGTGGGAAGCTCCAAATACTATGTGTTCTGTGCTTAACCGTTTCGGATTGCCTGTGTCTGAGGTTTTGACCTTCATTCGAATAATTTGCCACAAGAGCTCTCCTATTACTGCGAATGCTTTCATCCCGGGAACCCTTTTCCATTACCCTCAAAACAAAAGCAGGATAAGACTGATGCGTTGGTGCATGTCGAACCGAACAAAATTTGTAGAGCTCAAACGGATGAACTGGACAGGAACCATAGTTGGGGTCACAAGGAGACTCGACTGGCTCTAATGAGGGATATCCCTGCGAAGTTGGCCAATGGATGAAAGTCTTCTGGTCTTCCATGCTCGTGTTGCAAAATGTGTTGTGACTAGCTCGTCAAAATGTATGACAAACCGTAGAGTTCCGCAAAAGTACTACTGTCTTGCAGCCAGGCTTTTGGATTAAAGGCCTAATCGTCCCCCAGTCTAGACTAGGGTGTCTTGACGGTATCCTTGCTCATTTACAACCATGACTGGTTCTTTCATTCTTCAAATGCGAACTCAGTTGAGTGCCCTTGATTGTCTGCTGGGTTGTCAAAAGACTGCATCAAGTTCATTTTCATGTGATATTCAATATCGGCTCTCATTGCACGTGGCTGATAACGGTGATTGTTCTTGAAGTTCAGTCACAGCACGACGCTTTGTGAGATCTTCGGTCGGCGCGCGATGATGGAAGGCTGTCCCCTAACATCAGATTGGTAGTTCCTCCTGGTAGAAGTAACGCTGTGTTAGATAATGCACACTCTCGTCGTCTTGGAGTGAAGCTAGGAGTGGAGGCGTTTTTGCTGATGGCCAAACACTAATTTTGATGTATTCCAACAAGCAGTGAGCTGCGTTCTGTGTCAGTGTAAACAGGCAGTGCTTTCAGAGCGCGTTCCTGGGCCAACTTGGTTCGAAACTCAGCAAAGTTAGCGAATATACACTCATTTGCAAACTAATTTGTTTTTTTTTTCATAAGACGCACCTAGAACCCAGCTGGACCTCTCGTTTGTGATGTTCTCAGGCAACTGAATGGGCTGCACCATGCCGCCTCATGTTTCAGTCGCTGCGATATTGGAGATATCGCGATGTGTCTATCTTTGTAATGTACTACTAGGCAACCTTTTCAGCAACCTTGAGTAGTACATTAGCAAAGAGTTCTTTCAGATTGGCTATTATTCCAAGTGACATGAGTCTTCTTAACAATGCAGGCAACTATAGAAATGTTCAACTGTGCCCCAAAAACTGCCGACAGTACACGTGACCGACCAGAGGTCACATTTCACTGGAATCGTCACACCACCAAGGAGTGCGCCGGAAGTTTGTAAACATAATACGTTCTTTGTATTCTCAGACTTCTGGACGTGTGAGAGTGTACGGAGAGCTCTTCAAATGCTTCCGCACACAAAGCGGTGTCCGTCAGGGATGCCCACTCTCTCCATTCCTTTCTAACTTTGTGATCGATGAAATTATGAGACGAACGCCGGGGAGTCTCCAAAACCCTTGTGTTAAAGTAGCCTGTGAAGAGAACCTTGTCGATCCGGAATACGCAGATGACATCGTTCTCATGTCCGAAGAGAAGGAAAAGGCGCAAGTATTCTTGGATGAACTGACCAAAGTCATCCAGTCCTTTGGTATGCACTTTGCATCTACAAAGTGCAAGGTCATTCTCGTAGACGTGCAGTCACTGAACACGCCACTTACAATCCAGGGAGAAGTACTGAAAGTTGTGGGGCGCTTTACGTATCTCGGAAGGTGTATTAGTTGGTTGTGACATGTGTTGCGTACGCCCAACCATCTTTTGCCGAAGAGAGTGCTGTTTTCCATGCCCAATTCAGAGTGGTGTAAACAGAGAGGTGGCCAACCCTTGACTTGGCGGAGGAGTACGGAGGAGATCACGAAACGCTTGGGTGTTGTCGGTGCTACTCGCCTTCCAGGATAGGGACCACGTGATCCTCACTGTGCCTGGTTGGAGACACTGCAAGATATGGCTGCCAACCGATGTCAGGGGCGTTCTTGTGCCTACTTTCTATCCAGATCGCCTGAGTGAATGTCTGGCGATGTAGGCAACTCGAACTGATTGTGATAAGCTAGCAGTAAGTCCCTCCCCTGTCCACATTAACTCTATTATTACAATATGGCTTTCAGATAAATCATGGTTGTACGGCAGTGAAGCATCGGTGTTGAACACTGATGTCATGCTGTCGATGATGATGATGATGACGATGATGATGGTGATAGAATTGTCACACTCCTGCTCCAATGCACAAGCTGAGAATTCTACGAAAACATGCCGTCTAACCTCCACCTTCGAAAAGTTGAAAAAAGTTTCGAAGTAATACTTTTCGGTGTAAAATTACATGAAGGGGGTTGCTCGTGTCCCCATAAGTGGTGTGTCGATTCGGCAGGACTGACCGATTCCCAAGGCACTGACCTAATACCACCGACTATCATTATGTTAGAAAGATACTAGATGGTAACTGGATGCGAATTGATTTCTGCTCGTTTGCTGGCAAAACGATTGCAATTCTGTTGTCATTTTCGGCGAACAGATCGGTCATCTGATCAGCAGTCAATAGACACACGCCAGATGGGAAGAAGACTTTTCGCTGCGGAGTGGCTCATTAGGAAACATCAACTAAGCGGTTACAGACTATTGGATAGGAATGTCAAGCTCTTATATACACCTAGCTTTTAAAAAAGAATATCTGTCTTCTTCTTGAACGGGTCTTCTTGAATTTCCCTGATATTCACTGACTGTCGCGCAAATACAAACGAATGCTACGAAGTAGTTTCATAAATTCCGTGAGAAATCCCACCTTCCTTTGGATAAAGATGATTACAAGAAAACTACATACTACTCACATACCCCATCAGTAGTATCCACAGTTACATCAGTATTTCGACACATCGGCAATAGTAGCGAGTTTCCCAAGCCCTACAGAAATAGCTGAGATACAGAAGTTGCATTCAAAACTACACACTGTGCATTTGAATGATTTTTCCTTCTACAGACTTCCCAATGATACATTTACAAGGAACGGGTCAGTCCGCCACCCAATTCGCCCGTATCCTTTGATTCTAACAGTGTTTCTGAAGGTGTCGCCGGCGGATAACATAGCACAAGTACAGTAATACAACAAAGGAGGAGAACAGTTGCAAAAATGGCCCTGCAATCTGTGACGGAATCTTGAGAGCGAGTTCATTGATAGCAGTTTGTAACATTTCATATTCGAACTCACACTCGGTCCACTCTGTTCATTCCTATTTTTGGTAATCATCCATTCATTTGAAGTTCTCCTCCAGTTGCGATTTTTAAAAACTCGTGTTGTATATTACAGCAATATAATGAAAAGTCCTCTCAGTCTGATATCATCATTTATCTTAAGAACAGCAGTTACCCTTATAGACATCATAAACTACTCGTAAGGTTTATGAAAACTCTTTAGCGATGCACGAGCGTTTCTCTCTTTCACCTCAGGCTGATTGGAGAGGCTAATCAGACCCTAAAGGTCACTTAGTAATATAATTGCTTAGTTATATACTCTCATGTGTACACTAGCTGAAGTTTACCGGGAGGTTTTCCTGAATCCCAGCTGCGGAAGAACATAGACGAGAGATTCGTTTGGGATTCAGGCGAGTCTCCAGTGGAGGCCAAAGCAGCGTGCAAATTCTCCGCAACTGGGATTCAAGTAGGACATAAGAAGCTCTGGAACTGCGTCTTAATGATGAGCCCCAAGAACGACGAAATCACTCGAGGGCTGTAGAAGTGCAATGTGTCACGTCCATAAAATGCATTAAGATATCTCGAATATCGTACAAACTGAAACAGGCAGTCCGGTGAAACACATTTAGTTGAAGGACAGAGTCATAAACGAGTGGCTGGATTTGGTTGAGTCTCCCGTAAAAACTAGAATGGTGTGCAAATGGGTGCATGTGTCCAACAGTTACCCCTTTTCTTACACTTTATGCCTGGCTATTCGTGAATCGGTCAACCGTATGTGATGGACAACAGAATAAGTTATCACAAACCTAGGCGGATTGATATCATCGTGACAAAATCCCACTCGTTCTTTGTGAATGTTTCAAATGGGTTTGAGCATACTGGTCTATAACAAACGGGATTCAGCTGGAGGGTTATCTTTTTACAAGTTAAAACGAAAGTCCTACCTCAAGTTCTGGCAACAAATTGGTTGCATTACTGGCGGAGTTCGGGTAGACCCACGTGAATGAACCCCGTGTCTCTTCCGCAATCGGCCCGTGCGGCTAAAAATCAAAAGCAGTTTGAACAATCAGCCTTGGTTTGGATGTAGCCAAGGGTGAAGTTCGGTGATTATCGATAGTGATTAGGGGTGAGGCATATATGGGAAAACTGTGTACAGCATCTGTCTTACATTCAGAACGGAGCTGAATAGATATAGTCATGATATATTTCTCCAAAGATGCACTTTGGTCACGGAGAACACTCAGTACTAACAACTGAAGTGGCTGGGCCGTTTGCTGCGCATGTGGAACGATTGTCTACTGAGACTAGTGATGGTCTCCGTTTCTCCTCCAGTGTCCAGAAGCCAGCCGTCTCCAATAATCCAACATCACATCATTTGGACGGATGTGTCACGTGCAGGACACGCGCCAAACGAAGGCATGCCCTGATTAGTCAGAATGCCAGCCAATCCGAGTCGGGCATCTTTGATTCGAAGCTTCTCGCGCCCTCACGGAGATTCTGGCACGACCCTGTCGAATACTCTGTGCATACTCTATGAATCGAGTGTAATAATTTTCTCTTGTCTCCATTAAGGGCTATATGGAGCTACTGTGCCTTTTGATATACCGTAGTGGGCGGAGCAAGAAGCCAAGGGACCGGTACAGAGTTGCACGATTGTCCATCAAGCCACAACATCCAGAATTGCCCAAACTACAAGGTAGACAACATACGACTTGACAGAAGGGTGTGAAAAAAATTACGAAGGTTTCAGGTGCTGTTCGTACGGTCCACCTTCCAGGATGGGATCCTCGTGAACACCTTGATCTTAGCCAGGTAGCTCGTGGCAAGTGAGAGTCAGCCGATTTCCTAGGTGTTTGTACTATCATTTTGTTTTCCTATTACCAGGAAGGTCAGATTCTTGAATGTAACCTCAGAACCCTCGAAACCTACTACTCCACCAAAATCTCAACAGAAAAGCCGGCAAGCATCCAGGTCAGCTAATCATTCAGTCGATTCAGCAAAACCTGATGAGTGTTCATGCACGCCACAGAAGCACGACCGACTGTGATCTGCGTTCAGGCATTTCATAGAGTCACGACCGATGTTGATGGGTGTTCACTAACGCCTATCAGAGAGCGTGGATCAATGTCAGAAAGTCCCCCTTAAATGGCGTGGGGCCGTTGTAACTTTTGCCCTCGCACTCGCTTGTTCGGAATATAGCTGTTGTGTTCCCTTCTGTAGAAATCCAAGAGATCTCCCCGCGCAGGTTCGCATCCTGCTCGCGACGCCAAAATGTGAGAATTAAGTTTCGTACGTATATCGGTATAACCAGATGAACTAGAAATCCAGAATTCAGATCAGCGCAACAAGTAGCACGTATGTATTCGAATCGGCGTATATATACAGCATATGGAATATTAAAACAAGAGAATAATGAATAGTGCAATCAATAGAGTATCATTCATGCCCATCACAGAGTCTTTTTTCCGGCAACTAGGGACTGGAGCAGGTCAGCAGCAGCTTGACGAATCAGTAGATATAACACTTATTGTCTGACTGGGTGCTTGGATGTGTAATCGCCGCCTCTGATAGACCCGGATGAGGCGTCTCTCTCACCAACACGTTCCCTCCTTTCCCGTTAGGTCTTCAAGTGGAATTAACAAACCGTTTTAATTGCACAGCTGTAAACCACCAATGCAGACGTTGATGTAAACTGTTTCTGATGATTGGGATAGCTAGTGATTCGTCAGAAACTATTGATTAGTTTGAATGAGTACGTGATGAAGGCAACTTTGCTGAGTGTCGGGCAGTCAGTTGGGGTGCTTATCGATCGGTTAAGGTTGGTTGACTACCAAGAAGAGTATGAATAAGCGGTGAAAAAAATTCAGGTAGTTAATGTCAAAGGTACTTTTGCTGGAAAAAGTTGCATGTGAGAATCGGAGGTGGAAATATAGACGCTCTACGTACAGTTGACCTTGTGGGAATGAATCGCTCCCGAACCAAAATTCTTAAGGGAGTAGAAGCCTAATGGAACGGAATTAAGCTATTTACTGATCCTTGTCACATCTCTGAGTCTATGTATTTGAACTAACGTGTTTTTTCCGGGATGGACAAACTGGAGAGACTAATCTCAAGCGCTGCATCAAGTATAATTGCTCTATCTGTGATATCGCTTGTTTAGCAGAATAGCGCGGCACCGCATGTCACTGGGTGTGTGCTGAGTAGTGGCGTACACAAACGTATGAGTCCCACATTGTGGTGGTATTTATTTACAGTGATTAGTAGGGCATGTGAGCTTGTTGTGTCCGCTACTAACGGGTGAATTCTGGCCTTTGTTAGCCCTTGACTTTAAACTATTCGCCTAACAGCTCTCCTGTTCAAGGGTTCCTTAAATATTGATGCAAAAGAACGATTTAGTTTTTTCAAAGGTCATGCAGCAAAAATATCATATTGGTGTCTGATATTCACAAAATACATAGATTTAGTCAAATTAGCTCTATCTGGAGGTGAACTTTTGAAGCCCAGAACGAAGCTTGGTAAAAGTGTGTCACAATAACTTACCCTGACCTTATCATCAGTCATGAATTCAGCATCAGAGATCAGATGTATCTCTTTTTCCTTGGTCCATTTCATACGTCGGCCGACGAAGAACGATTGCAGCGTGTCCAACGTGGAAGTGAGCACGGACAGAAGTGTCAATTCATCCTGCATTTTCGACCAAGTCGCAGACAGCTCGAGAAAACGTGGCTGTTTAGGGACGGAGTGAGCTCAGTTAAACAACAGTGCTACGGTTCCATTTCCACAGTGTGAAAACACATCAAACTGTTTTGTGATAAATCAGCTTGTACCACGACAACCAAGACTTCGCTTATCTATCGTCGCCATCCTGATTGCTGCTTCCCCAATCTCTAGCTCTCGTAATCTACGTTGTAATTGTCCAAGTGCTCCCGTATCCGTGGTTGCAAGAAACAAGTACCTCAAAAAAAGATATGAGCTATTAAAGTCCATGCCTTCTATTAGGAGAACAAGCTCCAAACGTGACTGGGCTACACAACTACCGATGGAATAACCGTTTTCGTCGAGACAGATTTGATTGGTTGTTCTCCACTTGCCCTTGGCAGATGAGTTCTATTTTTAGCATCACTTTTCGGCCCGCCTGGATTTTTTCACGTGAGCTTTATGAACAGCCCGTGAAAACGGGCTGTCCCCCGAACGAACTGTCCCCCTCAGCTCAAATGGAAGTTCCGGGACTAAGAATGCTTTCTAAGGTTACCACAGAATCTTTGCATTGAAGATCACCTTTCGGCATATGTGTGGGTAAAGTAGCTATTAAACCCCAACGCTGATTATCCAAAGCCTCTAGTAAATCTTTCTGCGTGCGGATTCGGGCCAACGGGCTATAAATTTGGAGGGCAGGGAGCTCTTCCAGACTCGTTACGTCGAATCGACTAAACCGGTCGGATTGTGGAGTACGCTGGTGAGTCTGGTTAGGGGAAAGATGGAGTTGTGGACGTTGAAAGTGATTGATAAGACTAAAGTATGCCTGAACAAGATCACGCAGACATGATACAGTACGACCGGATGACCTGTATCCTTGATCATTTCTTCAGACGAATTGTCTACATGAACCCGAACAGAATCGACGGTCTCTGAGGGGAGGTTGACTTCATCACCTTTAGAACTCGTTGTGAAGCAGTCGGACGGCTCGAGCACCACCGGGGAACAGCGGGCAGAAAAAAGGGGTGACATAGCCATATCGCACAAATTTGGTTGAGCCTGAACACAAGAGGTGCACAAAGTCACCAGAGGCCGACCCGAAGGAAACGAGGGCTCATCGCACTGAACTCCCCGCGTGATTTTCGACTGTGGTGCTGGATCCCACGGACACGACTCGAACTCCGGAACAGAATAGCACTGTGCCATAGAATCTAAACGGATCCAGGGAGATCGTCCGCAGGGTCTGAAAAGTTTGGCTTCATCCGTTCAGATTCGGTGCTATCAACAGTTGACTGGAAACCACTAAGTGATTCACCAGCATTGAAACAGTCGGAAGAGGGAGAAGTAGGTTCTCGCTTGAGCGTGTAGGGTAGCAATGTCAATGTAGGTTGTGCTCCAGTTTGTCCCGTCTCTTCGGTGCCACTGTTGTTCGTACTTGTTATGGAATCGCAACTACTTGTCGCGGTGGTGGACGGCTCAGTGGCACGGCGGCGAGTTTTCACACGGGAATACAGATCGTTCGAACTCAAATCAATTTTTCCATCCCGAATGTCATCAAAACACTTAGTTTTTGATGCCACCAACTGGTGTTTGGGGACATACTCAAAGCGCCCACTCGTACGGGATTTGGTGTTGTGTTTTCGTTTAAGCACCTGTTGTCCCGTCTGACGTTCTTCGCTCGCGCCACGCAGACGTTCCCCATCCCCCGTGCCCCTCAGTGAGCTCGGACTTGAAGGTGGAGTTGGAACAGAAGCTATAGAGTCAGCCACACTAGACAGGCGGTCTTTGCGTGTTGAAGGCGGCTTTACATCCATACAACGTTCCCTCTGGTGAAATGAACGAATTGCATCGAGCAAGTTGGACAAGTTTTTTCTGGCTCCCAGCTGTCTGCATTCGGTGGGAATCCTTGCCATCGAACCTTGTAGAACTTCTGACCTTTCACGATCTTTTCCCCGATGATATCTTCAACCAAATAGACGGCGTCTGAATCTGAGTTATCCGCGGTTGTCGTATTATCACTAATAACATCTTTTGAGAAGTTGTTCAAGCGAGCTTGATGTGCGTGTTTGTTAGTATTGGTGCTGGAGAAACGGAAGCGGTTGTTTCTTACGGTTAGTCGACGTCGATGACGGCGTCGGGTTATGCTCATCTGTTTGCGCACGGAATTTTCTCCAGCAGAGGCCATTTGCATGCAGAGGCATAACCATGCACTAATATACACGGCAGAGAGCCGTTTTCACGGGCTGCACATGACACGCCTGCACGTGTCAGCGATCAATAGATCAGCTGATTCGCATGCTCATTGGCTTTCTGGTTTGGTTCAGCTCCTCAGGCCATCAATTGGTCATCCAGACTCACGATATCAAGAAGGCATTAAGAAAACTGCGGTTCCTAACACCTTTAGCTTTTATGCTTCTGTTTACTGTCACTTTCCGGATCCATTCTCTGTCCATCACTGTTGATATACATTAAACACCTGCGCATATGTAACAACACAAAATATCCTTGAGTTATTCGGTGGGAATGCGAAAAAGGCACGCACCACAAGAATCTTACAATCACTTATTTTTTGGTGTAGTAAAAGAAGGCAATCCAAACGGACTGACTTACATAGACTTCCATACTGGGAATCACCGAACGATCGGAGACTAATTCACGCAGTTGCTTCATTTGACTTTTAAAGATATTGCACAACCGATCCGCGTTCGCCGTCATCTCAATAAGTTCCTTTTCGAGGACCTCCAGAAAGGCCTCGTATTGGCGGGCATTGATCACAACGGCACGTAATAAGTCCGGTGTGACTCCAGATTGTTCGGCTGCTAGAATGGTTGCATTGGCCGAGCTGAGCGCCCCCGGGGATGAGTCATGTGCAGACAGTTTCATGAATAGGCCTGTGGGTTTTGCACGAATACGTCTCAAAAATTTCACAATGGTACAAAGACCACACATCCATTCAATGGGTTTGTTTAGCTACCTTGCAAGTATTTTAACTTTTAAAGAACCGGAAACGTACTCGAGCGAGCAGATTTAAACAGTCGTGGATTACAATTTCAGAACGGATTTGTTTTATCTCCTTCCGGCTTGAATTAGGCTTCCCGTAAAATAGCTTCTGCACCCTGATGTTTTAGATTTTGTTTTCAAAGCTTGAGGAGTTTTGGGAATTTAATGTAGAGTTTGTCCTTTATATAAAAACAGTCTATGTTGAAAAATCAAGAACCACTGTACAGCTGTTTCATCCTTATCGTAGATCATCAGCAGTGCGCATCATGAACCGTGCGTCCCAAAGTGAACGGTCCCCCACTTTTCACATATCTTCGTTTCGCGTTGCGAGCCACGCATCGTACGTGCTTCCAATCCATCCTAAAAGTTTAGTCTCAGTGTCTGTCTTGCTGCCTTCTGCTGCTGATTTCTACACAAGCATGAGGGAAATTGCATTTCAGTGAAAAAAAAACGTCTGTCAACAAACGGTTCAACTTACTCGCATTCCTTGCGGCAACTTCTCTTGCTTTGAGCAACTGGTCGTGTAGGGTGCCCAGTGTCTTGGGGATGCCATCGACGAGTAACTGCGGAACTGAAGTAATGTAACAGTAAGCGCTTGGACACAACGTGTGGGGGCCGGTCAGCGGCTATCAGTGACAATTTGCCACCGATTCGAGCGATGTTACTCGAAACATCCAAGGAGCCGGCGTATTGTCAAGCAACAGTTAGCCAAAGTAAAGTAAACAAACGTCGCGCGGTTTATGAACGGCAAACGGTCTAGTTTTCACTCACTGGCTGTTGAGAAAACCCTGTCAGGAATAGAATAAGCCTTACCTTGATACATCGTGTTCCAGCAACTAAAAACCGCCCATAAACCTGTGAGGCGCTTACTGTGACCCTATGGCTGTGCTGGGAGGCGTCCCTGCGACACTCATAGTCTCCAACATTAGGCTGATCAATGGGTAGCGGCAAACGTGTCAGCCCCAATCGAGGTGAAATCATCAGTGAGTTGTCAGGGCACTCAGTGGAGCATAGCGACGGTTTGGTGTTTGTACATTTAGTAGTGGTGCTGCTCTCCCAGTCGGACCTTCGATAACTACTGGCGGAAGGAGGAAGGCCTTCGCTGTGAATTTATTAGGAAATGCCAACTTAACAGTTACAGACTATTGGACAAGGAAGCAAAACTCTCATATGCATCTTGTTTACAAAACTGAATACCCATCTTCTCCTTGAACGCGTCTTCCTGAACTTTCCTGGATATTCATCGACTGTTGCTCAAATCCAAGCAAATACTACAAAGCGACTCCACAACTTCCGTAATAGATCTCACTCTTCAAGAGACGCAAAGCGGATTTACGAGAAGACATACTACTCCAATACTCTCCCATCAGAGTATCACCGTTACACTAGTTGTACGGTTGGGTTGTTCCTTCGGTTGGCTGGTTATCCTGTGTCCTGATTGGTCGTCTCCCTCCAACCAATTATGTCGAGTCGCCTTCCACAGTGTCATACAGCTCTTCCCTGTACGTTCACTTAATGAGCTTTAAATTAGATAAAAGGCTGGTGCAACAAACTGACCGCTAATAAGCCACCGCTACTCGCGCAGAAACAGATGACCCAATAACAGGGAACCAGGAAATCGATCGCATATTTGTAACACATATTTGCTGAGTTCTGGGCAAGGTCACTTCCTAGGGGTTTTGGTTTTAACGTAATGATTTTTGCAAGTGAGTCCCACTAGGTCAACGCTCATCAGTTTCAAAAACTCTCTAAACGTCACTGTACTGGTTCTAAAAACGTGGGCTTTTCTTACTTGATTTGGAAAGAATTTTACCCAAGAAATGGAATTGAACTTACTGTCATCTATACCAGCTCCACCTTTCAGACATTCTTTGTTGAAGAGGCGAATGCCCGTAACAATGCCCGTGAATTGTTCAATCTGGTTTCGTTTCTGCGCTGTCCCACATTTCAGAAACGAAAGTATGTCCGATTGAGGAAAGATGCTTTGCAGAGCGGCTGAGATGAGAGAAAATCGGAATGTGCGTAACAGAATGGGAAAGTGATAAGTTGAACGGCTAGTATTATCCCATGCCATTAACTAAAATACATTGACAGCGTTGTTTCCATTGTTGTTAACAAATGCTTTTTACACATCATCATTGTCACCGTTCGCTAGGCAGTTTTCTGGACGCTTTCATGATGAAAAGGGGTTTGATATCAACGAAACAAGGACGCGGCTATTCACGACTTCCACATACTTTCTCTATTAGATACTGTGGTATTTCACACAGGTGCCTGTTCGGTTAAGTTGTGTCGTTTGCTGTCTTCGTTCGATCCCTTTCATAAACATCACCGCACAACAGACGATGCTGGTCTACGCTGGAGCCTTTTCCCACGTGTTCATCTTGCTCGCAAAAACGTTTGACGAAAATAATGATCAAACTGTGACTGCAATAACCTGGATGTGCTCTTCGTCACCATCATCATCATAATCGTCTTCATCATCACCATCACCATCATTGCCATCGTCAGCTGTGATAACCGCGTAATTGTCGTACAGTAGTTGTAGCTGCCACGGTTTCGTTCAACGATGATTCAGGGAGGTGGGGTAAGTAGCTGCGCATTGGAGGCGGGAGCTGATAAATTGGTGCGTAAATACAGCACTGTAGGTGGACTGTTAAGTGGGGTATTGGGAAGGGAGCTATGTAATGAGGGCAATAGTTTGAATGCATGGGCGCCGTTGAGGGTGTGACTGGGCTATGTTTTACAACATCGTCAAATTAGTCAGCGAGACAACTGGTTTGGTTTCAGAAGAGCTTGGTGAACAATGGGTAGTTTTCATTCGGGCAACGTTTCGCTTTTGACACAAAAGATGAAGCTTTTGTGTCAAAAGCGAAACGTTGCCCAAATAAAAACTACCGATTGTTTACCAAGCTCTTCTGAAAAGATGACTTCTCAATCGGTCCCAAACTTTTTCCAATTGATTGAAAATTGTTTTAGTTGTATTGCGTCTAAATTCAGTCCTGTCTACAGGTAGTCTATGGCCCAGACCACCGGAGGCGAAACTAGATGCGACAACACTGTTACAAGTTGCCGAATTCGGAAAGTTGAAAATCAAGTTATCCGAAGAGCCGACTAAACTTCACAGAACAGATGGTCGAGGGCACGTGCGAACAGTGATCTACCTTCTCTCCACATTGTTAGAATAAGTCAGAAAATTCACTCACATGCAAATCAATTCGGTTTTCACGAGAGACTCGAAAGAATCTCTCATTTGTGATATTCTACAACTGAAAGTGCTGCACACAGGCCGCCTCATCTTTCCACTGACGAGATATTCGAGACATCGCAGTATATTTTCATAAAGGAAACTAATCACAAGGTTGGTGAAAACTCTTCAACAGCCCGCAACCGGTTTCGCCCTTCTTGGGGCCGGTTCATCAAGTAGGCGCAGTCGCCGAGTTTCCATCAACCTTATGTTCTAGTTGAACCCAAATTGGACTGTTTTCTAGAAATACACTCATTTGCAAATCAATTTGGTTTACTGTGATATCTCGAATACATTGCCAACTGAAACATGAGGCGGCCTGTATGCAGCACTTTCAGTTGTAGAATATCACAAACAAGAGGTTCTGTTGAGTCTCTCGTGAAAACCTAATTGATTTGTAAACGAGTGTATTTCTCGAGAAAAGTTACAGTTTCTTCAACTAGGATTTAGACCCACACCTCTCAGAATGGTATCCAAACATACTACGTTGGAACTGTTTCCCAATGGTGGTGTTGGATCACACATACTCCAGTGCGGCTGGCACAATAAGTCAGTGTTTACTGGCTTCTTGGCTGACACACTTTCGCAGGAGGTGCGATCAGACTTCTGGAAGGCTTTATCTGTCTGAAAAGGGCAATCCATGTCCTTGTGGGTTTTTCGTAAGCGAAATTTTCAAGGCACTTTGTGGTCACCCAATCGGTGCTGAAGGTCATTGGTTGTACACACCTTACGGACGTTTAGAGTTATTCGAACACACAGGTAACTTAGCTCACACTAGCTGATAGTGACCGGCCCCTCAAATAGTGGCTGCCCGGATAGAAGTTTGTTAAACAAATTTTATAACCAGCGAAGTAGTTACTCCATTGGTGATACCTGGATAGACTGCTCAAATTCTTGTTTTGATCTTTCCTCCGTGGAGCACACTGCTTGTCTTCTTCAAACAGCCGAGAAGTCGTATAAAGTAAAGTTGGCCAAGCTAAAAGACATACCGCTCCTTTATTAGTCAGCATTTTGTAAATTTGAGCCTCCTTTTGTTCCGGTACTTCTAGGCTTTTTAGCCTTGGTAGTCTGATATCTTCAACTGAGAATTCGTCCTGTCAGAGAAAAGACAGCTAACCAAACTGAACTTTAGTTGCTTGTCGCCCGGAAGGTCACATGTTCGGAACTCTCTGAGTTTCATGAAGTTCATACTGCTCACGATTCCCAGTGAGGATGAAGCCACTGAGCAAGGTTTCCAGGCATCTCTGACAAGACGAAATCTCTACTGAGCATTACTAAACCTGCTCACCAGTAGTAGTGTAACGGTGATACTACTGATGGGGAGGCACGCGAGTAGTATGTGTTGTTCGTGGAAATCCGCTTTGCATCTTATTTACAAAAACTGGATATCCATCTTCTCCTGGACGCGTCTTCTTGAAATTTCCTGGAGATTCATTGACTCCAATCATTCCTCGCTCAAATCCAAGCAGATGTTACAAAGTGACTCCACGAATTCCGCAACAGATCTCTCCTTTTCAAAAGACGCGAAGCGAAATTCCACGGACAACACATACTACTCGCGTGCCTTTCCATCAGTAGTATCACCATTACAGTAGTAGGAGTTTCAAAGATAATTTTTGCAAAATAGACTAGAAATCATTCTACCCAAGTTTTTCATCCAAACAGGCCAGAAAAGCACTGGTCATGCGTGATATTGCCCTTAATCTTGGTTACGATTTTGCTGGAAGGTAACCATAACGGATAGCCATTCCATAAGTTTCCGTCCACTGTCGACATAAGTTACGTGAAACATCAGCCGATACCGGATGATTCACGCACATTTTAAGGTCCAATTAAGTTCAAGGAGAATGCAACGAGAAGTGAGACTTGGCCTATTCGGGCAGCGGAACTGAGACGTCTTCAGGTGTTCGACAATCGTTGTCTCAAAACCATAGCTCGTGTGGGTCGGTGTCGGGGAATCTGTAACGAGGCAGTTAGAAAGCTCGTTTTCGGTTGTGTAACGGGTACTCTCTTTGAAGAAGGTGTCCAGCACCAGAAGCTGTGTTGGTTGGGACATGTGTTGCGTATGCCGAACCATCATTTGCCGAAGAGAGTGCTGTTGTCCATGCCCAACTCAGAGTGGTGTAAACAGAGAGGTGGCCAACCCTTGACTTGGAGGAGGAGTATGAAGAATATCACCAACCGCTTGGGTGCCGTCGGTGCTACTCGCTTTCCAAGATAGAGACCGCATGATCCTCACTGTGCCTGGTTGGAGACACTGCAAGATATGGCTGCCAACTGATGTCAATGGCGTTCCTGTTGTCAGTTTCTATCCACATCACCTGAGTGAATGTCGGAATGATTGTAGTAAGCTAGCACTAAGTCCCTTCCCCGTCGACCTTTACTCTTTTCTTTACAATAAGGTTTTCAAATAAATCATGGGTGTACGGCAGTGAAGCATTGATCTTGAACACTGATGTCATGCTGTCGATGATGATGATGATGATGATGATGATGATGATGATGATCATCTAAAAATTCGAATGATGATGGTGATAATGGTTTGGATTATCAGACTGTCTCAGATCCGTCACAGGCTGGAAGTTTCAAGCTGCCAAATAGTTACAGATGCGAAATCCTCCGCAGTCAGTGAAGACTCCATTAAGCTCTCCAAAATCTTCCACATGGTGTCTGTTTACACATTTTTACAAAAGCGACAACACAACTTTTCAAAGAAAAAAGAATTGTTTGAAATTTTCTAATTAGTTCATACAAAGATGTGCACATACCAGTCGTCTCGCGAACCACAGCGACATTGGTTGGGGATCCGAGTCCGGAGAACAGTAGGACAGCGGAAACAATGCGACGGTATGCGTCGTCCATTTGCTCTTGTGTACGTCCACGGGCCTCCAGAGCTTCAGTCATCACAGGTTCAAGGCGCGATTGCATGACTCGATGGCGTTCGGCCACAAATTCGTCTTCCGAGCAAGAAAGAGCAGCAGTCTCATTTGGTCGTATGTAATAGCATATGATGTGAACAGGACACTGAATAGCATACACAAACTGCCTGACAAAACAAACTGGTCTCGTGTCGAAATATTGGTCAGTGGGACGTGTTTATTCGCTGTTGATCTGTTTGCCAAATCTAACAACTGGCCATTCACGTTGAGAGATAACACATACTGTTTAAATGCTATATAAAATCAAGTAGGCAAGAGGCAAGTGCTCACTCAGCTGCGCATTGATGAGGGGACGAAGGAACGATTACACTGACCACAGCCGAACAGGGGCGGGTGCCCATATCAAGACTCGCGCTTTCAAGTCACCCTCAAGTGTATGAGTAGACTGGCGGTTGAATATTTACCATACGTTAGGAAAAAAAGATACCTGAAGAACTTTGGGTTGGCTAGTCTGCACAGGTATCTGCCTCCACTTTCAGGATAAAAAGAAGCTAAGTTTTCCAGGTGCCGTGCTTACAGTATGGCTTCTGTGAGACCTAAGATGGCTTATTTTGATTTTGACGGCTAACTTACTGAATGTGCTATACAAGACCGCCTCACGCTTCAGTCGCAACGACATTCGAGACATCGCGATACCTAGTCTAGACGTGACGTAATACTCATATGGTCGTTGAAAATTCTGACAGTCAACGAACGGTAATATCCTTCTCTTTCTATCCAATCAGGAAGGCGAAAGTCTACGCTGCGGAGTTATTGATTAGAAAATGCCAACTGACCAGTTACAGACTATTGGGCAGGGAAGCAAAACTCTGATTTGCATCTTATTTACAAAAACTGAACATCCATCTTCTCTTGAACGTGTCTTTCTGAACTTTCCTGGACATTCATTGACTGTTGCTCAAATCCAAGCAAATGCTACAAAGCGACTCCACAAATTCCGCAACAGATCTTCCTTTTCAAGAGACGGAAAGCGAATTTTCAAGAAAACATTCTATTCGCGTGCCTACCCCATCAGTAGTATCACCGTTACAGGTGCAGTTCCCGAGTTTCCCTCCAACCCTATGTTTCAACTGGACCCAAATGGTACGGAATTCGATAAATACACTCGTTTGCACACCAATTTGATTTCAACAGGAGAGGAACCTGAATTCCAGCTGAATCGCTCGTTTATGCTATTCTTCAACTGAAGTTTCTTCACAAGACCGCTTGACGTTTCACTTGGCACCATATCCGGGAACACTGCTCACTGTAGTCTGAGGCGAACTATGTTCGCTAAATTCAGTCTACTAATAGCGTAAACGAGAGATTCGGCAGGGATTCGGTTGAATTTTCCGTCAACACCAAGTTGACTGGCGAATGAATGCTCTTCATCCGTGGCGTGTAGTTTGATGTTCAAGTGGAACGTAAGCTCGAGGACTGTGTCTACCTGATGATCCCGTAGTAAGATGGCCAAACCCGTCAATGACTGTCGAAGAATTTCCAGCAATCTTATGAGTCTTATGTCAAAATTTCATCCGTTGTAGTTGCTTCTGATGAGCTTGACTCTTGAAGAAAAGAAGACTGGTGTGGATTATTAGCCTGTGATGATTTGGGATGAACTGTGAAACGTAGCGTAAAACAAAGTGTGTCAACAGTCAGCAATGGATTCACCTTAAATGATCATAGTTTTAGTAACGAGATTGTATGTGAATATCCGTTGGTTCAGCCGTATTTATAACAAAAATCGAACAGTTGCTTGGCTGCAACCCCTTTTCTGTGCCTGACTGCCATGACACCCGAAGGAATTGCGAGGGCTGAGGTACTGTCAGGTTGCCCACGCTGAGTTCAGGTTCGAACCACGGAACTTTCGGTCAATAATTTTGTGCTTAGCCATCGACTTATCCCAATCTACGTGTCTCACAGCTGATTGAAGTAAAAACGTTGTTTTAGCAAATCTCGCCTCGTGTCTTCAGGCAATCAATGGGAATAGCACGAGTGACTCTGCTTGGGGGAACATCAAAGTTGTATCCTAGTGAAAGGAAGAAGGCCTTCGATGCGCAGTTATTTGTTCGGAAATGCCAACTGACTGGTGACAGACCATTGAACAGGGAAGCGAAACTCTAATCTGCATCTTAGTTCCAAAAACTGGACACCAGATCTCCGAACGAGTTTAGTTGCCTCCACTCATTCATCAGTCAAATCCAAGCAAATGTTACAAAGTGGCCCCACGAATTCCGCAACAAAATTCCCTTTTTCCATCGACGCAAAGCGAAATTCTACAAACAACACATACTACTCGCGTGCCTCCCGATCAGTAGTATCACCGTTACACTAGTACTATACAATGGGGCATAAAAGGGGTAATCAGTCCAGATATTTTGGGCAGTATCGCGTCAATCCGTCGGTATTTTGAACCGTCTGTTTGGTAGTCAACCGTGAGACTTTTATCTAGTTTATTCGGGAACCGTGGGTGGAGTTAAAGGTAAAAGTTGTGCAATTATTATTCAATTATTCAATGAAGCATTGGCTATCCGTGACCTGTTTGAAACGGATTCGCTTGTGCAATGTGCCCAAACTCATCCACTTTCAGGTTTTAACTTCATCCGAGCCGATATGCCTAAGTAGCTCTGCATCCTTTCATTTCAAGGAATAATCGTTTCGACGGAATTCCAGAAAATACGCCAGAACTTGAGTTTTACTCAGTCAAATTTCGATCCCTGTTGGAGATTATTGATTAGAATATCAGTTACCCTGACTTTGGTAGAAATTTCGAAACTTATAAATGAAGGTTAATGATTTCAAGTCTTGGACTTAAAATCTGATCCGATTTTGAGATTCATCACTGGCGCGTAATTCGGATTGATCTGAGAACACTTTGGTTAAAAGTCGTTAGCTGTTGATCATGACCAATCGGTTTGGGACAGCTAATAATTTGAAAGGAAAGTTGTGCTATTCTGACGAGCCCAAGCCAGGACGAAAGATGTGACATATTACTCATGGGGTTGCTGAAAACTCTTCTACAGCAATCTAATGAGTTTTAAACAACAAAGTACCGCGAAATCTAGAATGTCTACCCAAATGAAAGATGGGGCGGTATTGTGCAGCGGTCTCGGTTGAAGTGGACCTTTAATGTGTGGATGTCCTGAGTCGTGCGGGGTTTTCATCTCCGGACATCTGACATGAGACTTCATCAGTAATCAAGTTTAATTCAATTTATCTGTTACGGGACCACATAGCATGAATACGCTAGTTCCAAGGGCTACAGTTTCCAGAGTAGAAGAGCGTGGCAGACACAGTCAACCGTTTGATGCAATACGATGTGGTGTGGGAACTTGGTGGCTATGCATGAAAATTGATAGTTTTGATGCACCAGCGCCATTGGCTACGGCACCTTCCACTGCTGAGTTGAATTTCGAGGACCCGATCCAGGGAGGCGGCAGTTTGTCGACTCGACCAACTTTACTGTCTAGTGTTTTTTATTCTTCGTTGCCAGGTTATACGCTGTCCACGTCTCGGCCTCTCCGAATCAGCTCTGCATAACGAACGTTCTTCTGGCTTGCGGAGTTCGCGCCCTAGAAGGCGTAACCTTTGAAAGACAAGTAACGCATCGGTCGTGCAGGAGATTCCAAAACCATTTGGCACACCTGAGCTTCACTGATCCAACTTTCTCACCAGACTTGACCAATGCTTCGGAGATACCGACGATCCAATACTGACAGCTCCCGTAGGGGCCAGAGTGCAAAATCTGATCCTGAGAGACGGCGGCACCATATTTGTTGAATGTTGACAAAACCTGTCGTGGCCCTCCAGATTCGACAAGTAATCTCATCTCCAGGTAGTCCCCTGGAAGGTATGCAACTGCCAAGGTAGAATAATTTACCTACCATACTAACTGGCTCTTTTTCAAACATAGGGTTTGCGCCTGATCCCACCTAGTCTTGTAGCGGCATTTTACTCTTCTCAGGTGTGGAGCGTGGGCCAAATGGTGTAGTATAATTATTGCCGGATGCTCAGTGTCTGTGAGCTAAATTTCCATTAGCATTTTGACGCCCGATGTTTTAGTTAGATGGAGAAACGACAAGCAGCATATCAATAAAAGAACTAAAGTGTAACGGCTCATCATCATCATTGTCAGCGGTAATAGCTGTGTACTCGTCGTACAGTGGTTGTAGCTGCCACAGTTTCGTTCACCGATAAGTTGGGAGGGGTAGGTACCTGCGCATCGCAGGCGGGAGATGGTAAATTGGTGCATTGATCCAGGACTGTCAGTGGGCTGTCAAGTGGTGGAATGGGAAGGGACCTATGCATTGAAGGTAATAGATTGGATACACAAGCGCCACTGAGGGCACGACTCGGCCATATCTGACAATGTCTCTAACCATCGATGTGGACCGTCTCGGGGTCCCCATCCACGAAGACGGCAATGACCAGCGCAGCTGAGTTTACTGGTAATGGCTTCCATACCCTATTGTCAAGTCATTCTTTGTTTCTCCATGGCTCGTTTCTACCCTCTGCGTTGTTGCGCAAGAAGAGTTCTTTGAGAGAGTCGTTTAACTCTTATACGGAGCACGTAGCTGAGTCAGCGCAACTGATAAAGTGCAATCGGTTCATCTACCGTGGACGAGTTATCTCTTCCAAAAACAATTTGAAGTATTTCAGCGCTACTGATCCGGTGTTTCTATCGGACTAAGGCAGTCCCATGAAGGCATCGATGAGCAAACAGTTCAGGCCTTTCGGCATCCTTGGCACGCATCGGTTAGGTTTTTATTCGTATAATACTATGTAGCACACCTAAGCACTGTAAACTCGATCCTGGACAGTAAGTCTATGCCACACCTACGCCACAGGTGATGATATTCACGGAGGCTGCTCTATCCTTTCTATTCTCTTCCAAAACCAATTTGAAGTATTTCAGCGCTACTGATCTGGTGTTCCTATCGGACTAAGGCAATGCTATGAAGACATCGATGAGCAAACAGTTCAGGCCTTTCGATCTCTTCCAAAAACAATTTGAAGTATTTCAGCGCTACTGATCCGGTGTTTCTATCGGAC